CTATGAAATACCAACTGTCTTCAAAACATCTACTAAAGTCATTTTACGTCGGAAAATCTAGGAAAGACTCCTCTCAACAAATTACTAAAGGCCTTCCTCAACTCATCTCGAATAGTCTATCAACTCATCTGCTAAATTTTCTTCATTCTGCACGTCTAGGAAAGACTAGTCGATGAAAGACTTTCTTCAGAAAATTTATGAACGATTCCCCTCAGCTCCTCTCCCTTCAGTTTGCCTATGAAAGACTCCTCTCAAGGATTTACTTCGGCTCATCTGCGAAAGATTTCCCTCTGCATGACATTACCAAAGAACTTCTTGCTTCAGTTCTTCTATGGAATGCCCTCTTTAGTTTGCCTATGAAAGACGTCCTTAAGCTTGCCCCTCAGTTCGTGTATTATTATCCGGCCTTCACTTGACTATCCTCAGCTCGTCTTTGAAAGAATGCCTGCCTTGTCAACTTGTCTATAGGGACTCACATTCAAAAAATGTATTTCTGATCGATTTTTCTGAATGATTTGCTTCATGTCGTCTATGAAAAACACTCCTTAGCTTACCTATGAAACGTCTCCTTAAGCAAGCTCACGAAACATATCTTCCGGTTGTCTATTAAGAATCCTCTCAGCCCCCGCCCCTTGAAAGTCTCACCCCCGTCGCCCCTCGGTTCGTGCATTTATGCCTTCAGCTGCACTCAGTTCGTCAAAAATACTCGCCTTAGCTCGTCAATGAAAGGCTCCTCTCAGCTCGTCTATTAAAGAATGTCTGCCTTCAACTCGTCTCAATTCGCTCACCTTTGAACGATTGCCCTCTGTCCGATTTCTCCGAACCATTTTTTGCTTCATGTTCTCTATGAAAGAACCCCTCAGCTCGTCTATGAAACCCGCCCCTCTTTAGTTTACCTATAAAATAAGCTCGACCTTCGTGGTCCATATCTTCAGGTCGTCTACTAAGTATCTTACTAACTCCTCTTTGAAAGTCTTACCCATGACTCATCTAAGAAGGGCGCCGCCTAAGCTCGTCTATGAAAGAATGCCCGTCAACTCGTCTAAAGAGGCTCGCTTTACCTCACCTTCGAAATATTTCCCTCTGCTCGACTTCCTTGAACCTTTTCTTATTCCAGGTCGTCTATGAAATCCTCTCTTAGGATTGCCTATGAAAGACCTCCATATGGTCGACCACAAAGTTTATCTTAGGGTCGCCTATTAAGACTCCTCTTTGAAAGTCTCACCTTCGGGCTATTCTAAGAAGGGCGCCCTATGAAAGAATGATAGCCTTCAAATCGTCTAAAAGGACTCACTTCGGCTCAACTTCGTCTGTGAAATGCGCTCCTCTCTTTCTTTTCTATATCTCTCTCTATGAAACACACACTTTCTTACTAATTCACTTTGGAAGTATCTAATTTTTGTTTTGTAAATATGTAGCACCCGCGTGTGTGTGTGATAAATTTTAATATAAATATTTTGAGTTTTTCTTATTTTCTGTTGGGGTTTGATTTTTAAAAGTATTTTTTTCAAGATAAAATATTTCTTGTTTGATATAATTATTTATGATTTTAAAATCTTTTAAAATGATTTCAGTTTTGTAATTAATGCCCCAATGTTATTTGGTTTGGATTAAAATTGACGACAAAGATATTTACGTTTTGAATGGCTGACTGGCTGGGTAATAAAAATGGGGCCAATATGGGGATGGGGAATATTGTTTTCGGTTTTACTACTAGAAAAGTGAACAATATATAATTTCTTGTTGTTGTTATTTAGTTGACTACAATTGCTGTTAATGTTCTTGTTGTTGTTTGTTTGTTGTTGGTATATATCATGTTGTTTTCTAATATATATTTTTTGTTTGTATGTATGTAATTATTATTGTTCTTTGGTTTATTAGCATTGCTTCTTTCATTAGTTTCTTTCTTTGTCTACTGCTGCTTTGCTAATTATGTTGTTGTTGCCTTGCTTTCGTTCGCTCTTCTTCTTCTGCTTATATTTTATGATTAGCATGACCATTTTGATGATGTGGATGTTGGTGTTGTTGGTGCTGCTGCTGTTGTTGGACTTTATTAATGACCGCATTCATGTCGACGATAACGGCATCCGGCATGGTGCAAGTACTGTCCAATTCAGTTTGTCCCTCCAAGCTGACATGACCATTTGGCGTGCTGATGGGAATTTCCTGTGAGTAAACACAAATTATAAAGTGTGTGGCACAAACCGAAACAGAATCCGCCACAAAACAAAAGACAAAAAACAGAGAACGAAATTTATTATTAGTAATTATTCCAAAATATTAAATAATTATTTTTATTATTTTGATTTAAATAAATTGTACTGTTCTTTGCTTAGGGTTCATCGCTCGCTCACTATATTTTTTTCGGTATTCGCAACGGTATCTGTAAGCGTACATTTTTCTTTTAGTGAGTTACAGAAATTTGAAATTTCTGTTATTTTTTTATATATTTGTGACAAATACTTAACCTTTTGGGTAGGAAATTTTGGGGGTCTTGGAGGGGAGTTTTTACTTTGTTCTAATTTATTTGTATAGGAATTTATTTATTACCTGATATAGAATAGCTGCATCCAAAGCCATCAACTCTTTGCGAGATAACTCCTCAACAATGGCGGCGGTATAACAATCACCCAACATGTTGTTGGTGGTGCGAATACGATCCCTGAAAAATAGAAGAAAATCGTGATAATGTTCGGATTGCGTTCGACTAGAATTAGATTATTAATAGAGAATACGAATCAAAAACATTTCAACAATATTTTTTAATGAAAAAATTGGATCAGTGTGATATATACTGATAATTTTGTTTAAAAACTTCCGGAACTGAATGACAGGTCTATAACGATTTCTTTCTGCTGGACTTCTCTGAACGACTTCTTGCTTCAAGTCGTCTGTAAAAGTCCTGCATTTATCTTGCCTATGAAAGACCGCCTTAAGCTCGCTCACTAAGCCTATCTTCAGGTCGTCTATTTAGTATCCTCTAAACTCCTATTTGAAAGTCTCACCCCGGCTTAACTAAGAATGGTGCCACCACTGAATCCAGGCTTTAGCTGACTATGCACAGCTCGTCTATGAAAGAATGCCTCTCGTCGCGACTCATTTCCGCTCACCTTTGAAATATTTCCCTCGGCTGCTCTGAACGACTTGCCCACATTCGTCTATTATTCGTTTATTATGAATCGTCTCAGCTTATATTTTAAAGTATCACTACCGGGATCATCTAAGAAGGGCGCCCCTCAGTTCGTCTATTAATCAATGCAACTTTCAGCTGACTATCTACAGTTTGTCTATGAAAGAATGCCTGCCTTCTCGTATCGTCTAAAAGAATTCACTTCGGCTCATCCTTGAAAGATTTCCTTCCGCCTGACTTTTCTGAAAGTCTTTTTGCTTGAAGTCGTCTATGAAAGACCACCCTTTATCTTGCCTATGAAAGACCTCCTAAGCTTGCCCACGAAGTGTATCTTCAAGGTCTAATCTAGAAAGGGCGCCCTAAGGTCATGTATTAATCAATCCAAGCTTCGGCTGACTATCCTCAACTAGTCTATGAAAGAATGCCCACCTTCTCGTCTAAAATCGCCCAAAAATCCAATCTTCTGGTCGTCTATAAAGAATACTGTCACCTACTCTTTGAAAGTCTCCCGGCTCATTTAAGAAGAGTGCCACTCAGTTCTTGTGTTATTGAATCGAGTCTTCTGCTGCACTTAGTTCATCAAAAGCACATCTTTAAACTCACAGCTCGGCAATTAAAGGCCACCTATTTTCATCTACTAAAGGCTTCTTGATTCTGTACAGACTTTTCTTCCTTGGCAGATTATACTCAGCTAGTTTATGAAAGACACCTTTCAGATTGTCTAACCTTTCGTATGGAGCGGTTTTCTTCCTTCAACTCTTCTATATAATGTCCATTTATCTCGCCTAAGACAACTCTCGTGAGCTCTTCTATAAATACCCGCTTCAATTCCACTCTGAAATGCACATCTTACTTAGTTTATGAAAAAAATGTTTGGCTTCAACTCGTCTACAGGGACTCTATTCTGAATTGATGGACTCGTTCATGAATGACGACATTTTCATTATTCGTCTTATTTCGTCTATGGAAGGGCCCCCTTCAATTCATCTATGATCAGTTGGACTTAAAATACAACTTCATCAACAACTATTATTTGAACGATTCCCTTCAGGTCTTCTATGAAATACTCCCTTTTTCCAAATCATCTATGAAAGACACCACAGCAACTCGTCTATTAAAGACTACCTGATCCTCATGTGGGGTGGTACTAGATGGAACTCACCAATGAGTCAAATCTTCGGACATGACCTAGGTTTGGTAAAAATAATAGGTTATGCAAAGAGTTCAAATCGAGCATTCCATTCGATATTGGCTTTGAAAACTACCTACCTCAACAATTCAATAGAAATAATATTTCCCAATTTCAGGATTCAAGGTTCACTTACAATACAAAAATTTTCCAAATTTAGTACTAGAAGTATGAACTTCAAAAACTATCTATATACCAAAATCCTACACTCCAGCAGTAATTTTAATTCCAAATTTCAGGATTCCATCTCTATCGGATCACCTAAATCCAAATTTGCTACAATTTAATACACATAATTACAAATATTCTTAACCACATTCATACCATCATCCTTCACTCCAACAGTAATTTTAATTTCGATTGGATCAGTAAATTCGAATTGTATCAAATTTAGTAGCATTCAGTACCCATAAGTACAAATTTGCATTACTACCTGATTTCAATATTCATGTCTCCATCGGTTTACCCTTAATCCCAATTGTACCAAATTTAGAACCATTTAGTACTCTACCTACATAAAAAAACAATAGAAAAATTATTTCACAATTTTGGGATTCCAGTCCTATCGATTTAGCCAAAATTTAGTACCATTTAGTACACATAACTGCGAATTTTCAAGCCCATATTATACCATAATACCTAAATTCTACACTCTGACTGTAATCTTAATTCCAAATGTTTAATATTCCAGCTCCATCGGCTCACCTAAATCAAAACTTTATAAAATTTAGTATCTATAAGTACAAATTTCCAAATCTACATCCATATCCCAATCCTACTCTCCAACAGTGGCTCTCACTCCAAATTTCTGCATTCCACCTCTATCGGTTCATTCAAAACTCAAATTTTTCCAAAATTTAGTACCATATTCTACAACGCAGGATTAATCTTACTTTGAGATTTCAGTCTTGTAGCTCTATCGGTTCACCCAAATTGTGCCAGTACCATATAGTACTTTTTCGTACACATAAGTACAAAATTCCGAAACTACACATCCCAATCGTATACTCGGACGGTAATGTTTTTTTTTTAAATTTCAGGATTCTAACTCCACCAGTTCCTCCAACTTCAAATTGTACCAAATTTACTTTTTCGTACACATAAGTACAATTTACCAAAGCTACCTACACATCCCAATCGTATACTCCCACGGTAGTATTAATTGCAGGATTCCAGCTCCATCCGTTCCTCCAACTACAAATTGTACCAAATTTAGTACCGCTTAGTAATTTTCGTATACAAGAGTACACACTACAAAAACTATCTTCTCATCGATTTTTTTGACTCTACTTCTTTATCTGGATTTGCATTCCAAATTTCAAGAGTTCTCTATCCGTTCACTTGCTAGGAAATTGTACCAAATTTAGTACATTTTCAGATACTCATAGTTAAAATTTCAAAAAAAGCTCTTTAATACAATTTTTTTACACTCCATCAGTGACACTCTTCCCAAAATGTAGTGTTCTAGCTCTACCGATAACAACAAATACAAATGGTACCATATTTAGTACTTTTCGTACCGTCCCATATTTAGTGCTTTTCGTACCTAGTCTTACCTGATGCTTTCGGACAAAGAGTTACCAGATGTTTTGTCGGAGCGTTGATGAATCTTTAAGTCCGCCAGTCAGTAAGTCATAATTGAGTCGTTTATTTTGAAAGTGGCTTAGGTCCATTTTTTCTCATATTGAAATATTTAAAGATTTGGATTTCAAAATTTTCAGAAATATTCTTAAGTGGTATTAATTTGTTTTTGTAATTTTATAAAAGAAAATACTTACACAAACCAATCGACAGCGAACAACAATGTGACATCCTGCACGGGTGCATCGATAGCCGTCAATACAACCAGTAGCAAAACCAAAGCAGCACTTGGAACACTTGCCGAACTCATAGAAGCCGCAGTCGATGTCAGCAACACAGTGACAATTTCACCAAAACCCAATGTCATGCCAGACATCTGGGCAATAAAAATCGAAGCAATCGAAATGAAGAGAGCCGTGCCGTCCATGTTGATGTTGCAGCCAATGGGGAGAACAAAGCGAGTTATGCGTTGATCCACACGCAACTTGTCGTTCATGCAACGGAATGTCACAGGAAGTGCAGCGGCACTGTTGCAGCAGT